GCGTCGGCGTCTGCTTGGACCTCTTCTTCTTGGCGGAGGTGGGAGACGAGGGGGTGGAGAGGGAGCTGAACCAGACGCCGATGGACCGGAACAGCGACTTGGCCCGGCCGCTGCCGACGGAGAGCTGCTGCGACCACGCGGGGCTGGGCGCCGGCCCAAGCCGCTCCCGCCGGCCGGACCCCGACGCCGACAGCCTCCTACGGTGGTCGCGTCCGTCCATGTCCCACACACAGGCCGCAGCTACATCCACAGCTCCAGCCAGCGAGCCGGGCGGCGAAGTCGACGCGCGGTTTATAGAAGAGGACAAGGGCGCGGGCGCGTCCATCCAAGGAAGGCCGGCCAGCTAGGCAGCGGCCCGGTGCACGTGGGCCCTCGTCGCACCATACAATGTGTCTCTGTATGTGGGCCCGGACCCACTCGCAGTGCTATCCAGTGTGCTGGACCTCGACCTGGACCGGGCAAACCGTAGCGAAGAGTGGAAGAGTTCTCGACCAACTACCAAGAAACCAGCTTGCTCAAGCATTTAAACGGCACCGCCCCTCGCCATGGAATTAACGTGTGCCTCTGCAAGTGGGGCCGGAACAGTTCGGGACCCACATGCAGTTGCCGCAGTGTTTGCAGGCGACCTTTTATAAATGCCCATTGGCGGAGGATAGAATTCTTCCACGCTCGCCATCCGTTTGCCAGATCAGCTACCAGGATTCATTTAAGAATAATCATACGACTTGATTTCTCTCGAAGGCGAACTGCATAAGGCTGGTCATAGTGGGAGTAACTTCAGCAGGAACATCGAGTCCAACTCAACAAATTTGCTTATGTGGCAATGAGTTAATGAGGAGAGAGGTAGTTACAGTAACTTAGCTAGTTACTGTAACATCACATGTCCCAATGCAATATGAGTCTATAACCTAATAAATGAAGCTTTGCATATTACCACACTTATGTTACTACCCACTATGAAGATAGTAACATAGTCTAGGAATTTGTGTGTGTTACTAGTGTATGTTACTATGCATTGTGGCTAGTCTAATACAGCAAAATTTGTCGGTTTTGTTAATCAAAATTCATAAACGCTATTCGTTAGGCCAAGAACAACTCTGGGGGAATGCCTACGAAGCTCCGCGGCCGCGCCACGACATGTCTGGCCACGACATCGCCGGGGGTGAGGATCTTTTTTCTCTTCCATTGCTGCACGAATTAGATAGCGGCTAAGCTGAATGGGATCATGTCATACATGACCTCAGTGTAGGGAGTGAGAGAATATGTCCGTTTTGATACAATGTCTTGGATTTGTTCGTTCGTGATACAACGGCTCAGCGCCATTCATTTCCGACCGCAATGGACACATGATTTCAGTTTCCAGACGCATTTGAGATTTTCTTAAGTCTAAATCTAATTTCGAGAAGTGTAACTCCAATTCCTTTTCTATCACCGCAATTTCCCAAAAAATCTTCAGAAAAGACTATATTGAAGTAACTTTTTAGAATCGTCTCAAAGACATAAGAATATCTCAGACCAACTAAATTATCGTAAAAACCGCAGTCTTGCGACTTTACGACAGAAGTTGTGCGTTCTAAGATTGTCTTAGGACATACGAAAATGTCAGTTGACTTAGATACACACAACCCTGTTTTATCCAAGATATTGCCAAGTAAATGTGCTTGGAGAGACCGTGTCAACGTCCTCGGACTGCAGGCACTTGTGGCCCAAGAGAGCAGCGCAGCATTTCCTACCAAAACCGCTTGATGAAGTCTCAAGTGTGGCTTCGCTGTCACAGCCAGACCTGTTCAAAGGTCAACCTTCATGGGATTACACGCAACAATAACTGTTAGAAGGGAGAGAGAAGGATTGGTGGAATAGTTGTTGTATTGCTTGAGCCTCATGGGCATATATATAGGAGTACATGATCTACTTGGAGTACAAGGCAAGCCAGAATATTTCCTAGTCTAACCTATGTTTCCTAATACTATCACGTTACTCAACATCCCCCCGCAGTCACAACGGTAGCGATGCAGACAGTGAGACTGGAGAAGAATCCGAAGGCAAGCCGACGGACACCCCCCACAGTCGTAACGGTCGATGCATCGCGGAGTTGTGGCTGGAGTGGAAACCAACGAGGTTGCTCAAGCAGGCGATAGCCCTTTGTGCCGTTTGTCGATGTAGCCGAGAGCGTGGGTGGTGGAGCCGTGGTCGAGGTAGTCGTGCGAAGAATGCCGTGATCGATGTCGAGTCGGGATAGCCGGTGTCGAGGAAGTCGCCATGGAGCCGCGAGCGCAAAGGGGCGCCGAGTTAGCATGGGCGCAGTGGTGTCGAAGTAGTGGTGCGCCAGGAAGTAGATGATGTTGACGACGCGTCGCTGCGGGTTTGCCAAGCCCGGGGACACATCGTGGACGAAGGCACGCACCGGTGTTGCCAGCACCGGGCATGCGTAGACGGACGAAGACGAAGTTGACGAAGCGCCGCGCCAGGCTTGCCAGGCCCGGGGACACGTCGTGGACGAAGGCACGCGACGGTGTTGCCAGCACCGGGCATGCGTAGACGAGGGACCTGCACGAGCTGTACACCATGTCGGAGAAGTCGGAGAGGCCAGCAGAGAAGGACTCGACGACGGTTGCGGCGCCAATCGGCGCGGGGCCAATGTCGCCCGCGGTTGTCGGAGTAGATGAAGCGGTCGGGGTAGATGACGGCGAGCTGGCGACGAACTGGTGCTGGACGAAGACGAAGGGGGTGGACGGGCGGCGGCGGCGGCTACAAAGGTAGCGGCGGCGGCGGCCAAAGAAGAGCGGCAGCGGCGGCCTGAAGGCGGCGGCGGCGGCTAGGTTAGGAGTGCGGCGGCGGTGCTCGACGTAGGCGAAGAACCCTGACAGCATGACGAAGACCGGCGTGGACGGTGGCGTTCCCGCGCCAAGGGAGACGGCGCGGCGCATACCACGGGAGGTCGACGCGCGGTGACGGCGGTGGACCGCGGGCCGCGGCGCTACGGCCCGAAGGGGCGACGCGGCGGCGGCGGGCAGGTCCGGGTGACGACGGAAGACCTCGGGACGGTCGCAGGGACCGCGGGCCGCGGTGCTATAGCCCGAAGGGGCGGCACAGCGGCGGAGCGCGGGGTGGTGCAACCGCGTGGACGGCCTCGAGACGGCGGCGTGGACCGCGTGCCACGCTCGCTACGGCCCGACGGGGCGACGCAGCGGCGGCGCGAGGGTCGGTGCAGCCACGGGGACGGCCTGGAGTGGACGACCTCAGGGCGGCGGTAGACCGCGGGCCGCGGCACTACGGCCCGAAGGGGCGACGCATCGGTGACGCGGGTCGGTGCAGCCGGGAGGAGAACCACGGGGCGGCGGCGCTACGGCCCGACGGGGCGACGCAGCGGCAGCCCGTTGCTCGATCGACGGAGGGGCGCGGTGAACTCGGAGACGATCTTCACGGGACCTGCGAAGGCGCGCGTAACCGACGGGCCAGGTCGGTCGCGCGGCGTAGATGAGGCTGATAGCGGCGGCGAGCGGGTGATCAAGCCGATCGCGCCCGAGGTCGGGGACACCGCTCGGTGAAGGCGTGATGGCAGCGGAGTCCGAGATGAAGCCGGCGGCGGCGGGCGGCAGGGCGGCTATGATTGGCCGCCGCATGGCGCGAGGCCGCCGGGTCGGGAAGAGGCAGGAGTCCCGGTCGGAGCAGGTGGTGACGGCCGGCGTAGATCGACGGGCAGGCCGTCGCGCGAACGGCGGCGGTGAAGGGCCGCCGCATGATGCGAGGCCGCCGGGTCGGGGCGACCGGCGGGTAGACGCATGGACGACGCGCGAGGCCGCCAGGTCGGTGAAGACGCCGGTGTAGTCGATGCCGAAGTCGGAGTAGAGGCGCACGGGGTTGATGGCGGCGGTGGGCGACGCAAACCGGATCACAAAGACCGGAAAACCAAAAAGTAGACGCCGATCAAAGCGACCGGCGAGAGAGAAAAATCCAGATCAAAGGATTGGGAAAAAAGACTCTCTAGGGCAGCCGGCCAACACGGCCGGCGGACGAACCCTAGGTACGGGCGGCGCGGCCCCCGGCGGCGGTCATGGAGGCCGACCGCCCCAGGGGCGGCGCGCAAGTGCGGAAGCGGCGGCGGCTAGGGTTTAGGATCGACTTGCTCTGATACCATGTTAGAAGGGAGAGAGAAGGATTGGTGGAATAGTTGTTGTATTGCTTGAGCCTCATGGGCATATATATAGGAGTACATGATCTACTTGGAGTACAAGGCAAGCCAGAATATTTCCTAGTCTAACCTATGTTTCCTAATACTATCACGTTACTCAACAATAACCATGACAAATCCATCACCCATAATACCCGGACAGGGAGCTCAGCTCGCACATATTTGTCAACGAGAGCAACATCAGCAGCTAAAGACCAATTCTGCCGGCGGATAAAACTATGCGCGGCCCCGGGAGAAGGATTACTCAACAAGAAACATAAGAGGATTACTCAACAAGAAACATAAGACGAACAGAGACAGCTCGGATCGCCGACAGGAGAAGATTCAGGGGTAAGAATGTACAAATGAAGACACAGTTCAGAACCAGTTCTTTTATACTTGCTGTCACCCTATATCTAGTATGCGATGGTTTATACAGACGCTCGACGAATCAGAAAAACGCGACCCAAAATCCAGAAAGCACGAAAAATAAAGAGAGCTAGATTCAGAGTTTCGACTAGTATGAAGTGCATATTGCAGATGCAGCCTGCTAATCCTCCTGTTACCATAAACTTGACACAAATGCTAGTATAAACACAGGGATGGATGGTTTTTTTAGAGCATATTTCTTGCGGGTTCCTTCCTTTCATTATTTCCCATTTGTTCTCCCAAGATGCATTCCAGTAGCACCTCCTCCACCAGATCATACTATCATATTAGGAGCAGAGTAGTTTGCTGATTTTACTTCCCCATAGAGAAAAGGACTAGTACTAAACCTCCTCGGTAGGCACGCACGGGCTCCTAGAGAGGATCCACCAGGGTCAACATGCTATTCATACATCTCATCTATCAAAGTTATCTGCAACATAGCGCCAGAAGTTTTCGTCAAGGCAGGGTACCATATTTATTTGAAGAAAATTTGTGCAGAAACGGAATTATCACAAACTGGGGACTTGAAAAGAAGACGATAGCCAATAACAAATCGTCACAAATATAGTCAAAGAGATATCCACAGGTTGTCCTCTTATATTCATATTGACCGGCATCATCAGAAAGTTTGTATCTAAGCGTTTTTCAGAATGAATTTTGGTGCATAAACACCTATGAAGGTATACCTCTCCATGCGACGTGTCTCACAATGAACATACATACAGCAGTGTCTTTAGTGAGCTATATGGGTTTTACCATACTAACCTGGTCACAGACTGGGCAAGTCTCGCTTCGCTCCATCCATTCGAGTATGCAACAAAGATGGAAATGATGCTCGCATTTGGTGATAGAGCGGGGATTTTCTTCATCATATTCTGGTGAGAGGACAAAAAAGAAAGGTTATTATAAAGAAATTTTATGGTCCAGCAAAACATATAGCTTAGATTTAGAACATCCATTGGTGCATCAGTGGAGGATAATGGGAGTGTCGCACGCATCAGCAACCAGAAACTACAGCATGATGGAAGTTCCTAGCTTACTTCTCATCAAAAAGGTCCACTATGTCAGGTTGCATGCATCCAGCAACAAGTGAACTGTTTAAGGCTCCGATAAAGAAAGATTTTTAACATGCAGAATTATCCATCCACTGATATAAATGTATTAATAATGCATACATCTGAACCAAATGCAGAAAAATAACTGGACACCAGCATTTGTTTGACCGACAGATTCTGGGTAACATATCCCTCTACCATCATTAGAGAAATAACAAATGATTATGTTTCAACTAAATAAGATCAATCTCTTGATCAATTTACCCTGTTAACAAGAAATCAGCATAGGAAGAGTAGCACAAACATGTTCATCCAGTTCCACAACCAACCAAGTAAAGACAGTATCAACAAATGATCAAGAGAAAAACAACCTTCAAGGCAGATAGGGCAAACATCCTCCTCCTCGATCTTATCTTCAGGGGCACCTTTTTCACATGATTCGTATTCATCCACCTTCAGAGATTCCTGCTGATCATCTGTTTTGCTTTTGATATCTGACTTCTCCAGATCTGCACATGAAAAATCATAAGCTTGCATCATTACCATTACTAGATTAATTCTAATAAGCCTAAAAAAAATCTAATCAGCCTCAAAGCCCATAAGAGCTTTACCTGGGTTTTCTGTAACTGGCAAACTAACATCATAAGGCAATGGTGCAGGGGGTGCCCGATAAGTGTCAGGCGTGGATGTGTCCAGATTCGTGTCAACTGCGACTATAGCAGAAGCTGGAGATGATCCATCAAAGGCAGAAGATAAAGGTTCATGCTCCTCTTGGTTTTGCTGATGCTGGACAAAGCAAAGCAAACAGTCTTAGCAACATCAAGTGACTAATAATGCCGAACTTAATAAAACAGAGGTAACACCTAGTCATTATTAATCATGGTAATTTGTGCAAATCACCAACAAAAAGGTGGCAGTCATTTTTGCAAAAGTGTGTACATATCACATAGACAACATTACAGGTTTACAGCAAGCAGCATATTTCCTAAAGACCAGAGTCTACAATGCCAAATCATCAAGAACTGAAGACACACAAATGGGAGATGCACGCTATAGGTAACATAATTTGTCATCTTGCACCAAGAACTGCAAAGAAGGCCGTTAAACTTGTAGCACTCTGCTATTATAAGCATGTGCAAGTAAAACATCAGCTAATTCTGGAACACCCGCTGATGACTCGCACATGCCAGATCAACAAATGAGCAGAGAGTATTACAAGCAACAACTTAAATTAGTAGCAAAAAAACATAAAACAACTTAAATATAAATATATGAGTATCGTGATTGTGCATAATCTGATTTGATATTCATATAAAAGAAATGCAAGGAAGATGGTAGAGACCACCCTGACACTGACGTCAGGTCATTTGATAGTTGACAGTGGCACACAAATCAGAGAACAATGTGAATTCACAGAGCATAAAACAGGGTCTACATACATAGATATGAACCGGTGCTCTGTCCGCTTCCGCTCTCGATGCACAACAGCAGCAGCCACCCATTCTATCCTTGATGAAAGAGCTTAATCTGAGCTATCCTCTAGCTGTTGTTTTCGTCTCTCATACCCTGCAAAGAAACAAGCCCATACTGATATAAGAAAGAACAGGGAATCATGATTTGAACTAGAAATACAGCATATAGCACAACTGCACAAGATAAGGCAAAGTGCACCGGCACGCGACCATACAACTATACAGGTACCTTGTTATTCTCTGGTTTACTCTAATAGAGCTGATCTAACACCCACAGAAATGACACATCACTTGTGGACATGACCACCATGCCTTCATACTACAAGCCATGCTAAACCATGCACCATACTCCATAATTTCGCATTCTAGCTCACAAATGGACACCGGCAGCGCCACCGGAGCTTTTAGCAGATAGCAAATCGACCAATCGAGCACGGAGCTACCTACCGACGCACCCTTATCCCCTGCAGACAAGGCAAGGCTTGCACACAACACAAGTGCACTCCCCATGTAGTAGCCTTCACTTCAACTCACAAGCTAAAAAAGCATGGGCAAGGCTGCAGTATGCCTGAAACACCAACAAGACATGGATAGTGTGCCCAAACTCCAAACCCCCAGCGCAAAGCGTGCAAGCAAGCGCTGAATTGCGCCGGCAGGAGCAGCCAGGCGTCACCAGGCAGCTAAATTCCGATCGAAGCCACGCTGATTCACAACGCCGCTCACCGCACCCCTCATCACCCAGTTCACGCTGGGCCGACTGCAGGGGCCAGGCGGGCGGCGTGAGCCAGCCGCAACCCCGCTTGTCCCCTTCCTCTTTTGTGTGGAGCACGCTATGCCGCTACGCTAAAACCACAGCCGGATTGCCGAATCCGCGGGCCGCGGGACGGATCGGAGCCGTCCCCGAGAGGAACAGGCGGGTATCTGGGCTCGCGGAACAAGGAAGACGACGAACCTCCGGCAATCCGAGCAAGCGAAGCAAAACCCGCGACCGTACCGACGGAGTCAGCCAAGCGAAAACCCCGACGCTCCTCCCGCTTCCTCCTCCTCCTCCTTCTCCGGCGCAGGCGGCGGCGAGGGCCCCGGAATTCGAGCGGACCTGGGGGGAAATCGAGCGGCAGAGAGAATAAAAACGAAATTCAACCCAGGGAAGGGGAAGGGGAATCGACCGAAAGCATGAGCGCGGGAGAGGCCGCGCGCGGGGTCGAGCCGGAGACGGATTACCGGCGGGAGCGGGCGAAGGTCCGGCGGTGGCCGGCGAGCTGCTGGGGCTGGGCGGGGCGGGGTGGGGTTTCTCCGTCCGCCGGTAGCGAGCGAGCGAGCTCCCTGGCTCTCCTGTGCTCCTCTCTCCGCTCCTGTGTGGAGGGAGAGCGGGGGGTGGTGCGCGGCGGTTTGCGGGATCCGGAGGGGCTTTTCTGCAAAACGCGCCTGAGTGGAGACGAGGACCGAGGAACGATGCCTGCTCACCCAGTCAAACCTACTCCCTCCCACTGTGCGCGGGCCCACGGCGCGGCCCGGGCCCGCGCGTCACGCGCGGGCGGGGGGGGTGCGGGTGCTAGCTGACACCGATAAGATCCTCCCCGCACTGGCGCCTCGCCTTCTGACGTCACGCGCTGGCTTTTTTCTTTCTCCGTTTGTTTTCTGGAGAGGGGAAAAAATGGCTCGGCCGCGGGATCGGGGCGCCACGCGAGCGGGACACGTGGAGCTGGGGGTGGGCCCCGGGGAGGTGCGGGCAGTCGCCTCGGGGTGGGGTAGGCCGGTAGGGGCTGGGTTGGCTGGGATGGTTGGACTTTGTGATGCTAGCGGGGTCGTCGACGTGGCTTTGACTCGACAGCGACGCTGTGTTGTGGTTAATAGGTACTCCCTCCGTCTAGGTGTGTAAGTCATCTTACGAAAACCAAATAATCCCAAAATACTTAGGCGCGGTGCATTAAATTCTACCTCGTTTCTTATTTCTTGACATATCAACCAATAAGAGAAGTAAGGTGTGCATGCTTTTAATGACTTGAGACTACCAAACACGACATATAGTGGTTAGTTCATTGCATGCAATGCTATTAATTAGCAAATGAACATTAAGTTTTTTTGTTTTCCCCTTCTCCTTGATCACGGTGCACAACCTAAAACGATTTACTCACCTAGACGAAAAGGGGGCTACGCACTTGATCCGCAACACATTTTTGTGACAGTAAAAAGGAGAGAGGGAGAGCAAATGATCGAACAGTGTTTCTCACTGATTGAAGACCGGGTATTTACAAGGCGGTTAGGATTACAATGTCGGTACCTACAACCGACTTAAGCATTGATGATTAGGATTAAGTTAATTATTAACCAATTTTCTCGCGTGGCCCAACTCTAAGCTGCTAACATTAACCATGTTTGTTCTGTTTTGCTTTGCTTTGCGATTATATGCATTTGGTGTTTCGAAACGGCACTCTAAACCGACGGCACGCGGGTGCATCCGTTTCCTCGCATCTATTTTTGCGAATGGACCTCCCGACGGTTGCGTGTGAGTGTGAACAATGCGGCCACGAGCGGGGCGTTCGCCGAGGTGGATGTCGAAACGAGGCATGGGGCCCACAGACATGCTCAAGACGAGACGTTGGCCGGCACACCTATCGAAACCCACACATGCGACTCGGTGGGGGTGTTGATTGGAGCGCCTATCAAATAGGGGGTCGTAGCTCGCACGCAACGGGCTACTGGTTGGCGAGCGTGTTGAAACAGGCCGGGTGGGCCACATCACGCACGTAAGGGCGGTGTTGTTGTTGGCGTGTTTGTCATAACATGGGGGGACACACACACAATAAGGGCATCGGTTGCACTACTAAGAAATGCATTATAGGTGAAGGATTAACAATAGCACGGGGTTAATATTCCGCGCTACTGCTACTTTGCAGCAGCGCAGGTGTGCAACACGCGCTACAGGTAAATCTATAACAATAGCGCGGGCTCGACAGACCGCGCTGATAGGTGGTCCCCACGGTGCTGATCGGGGCTGCTTATAGTAGCAGCGTGGCCCATGAAACCCCCCTACTACTAAATAGATAGCAGTACTGTGGGTTCCGTGCACCGCTGTGCAACTATGGTTGCACTCCGCTAGCTAGTGAGCCCCGCTTAGCATCGGATATAGACCCAGCGCTACTGCTACTACGCTTAGCAGTAGCGCTGACCCTGGACCCGCGCTGCTACTAAGGCGCAACAGCCACCTTTACCCTCCCCTTCCCCATCCTCTCCCTCTCTTGCTTCTCCTACCTCTTCCCCATTATTAGCTTTGTTCTCTCTGCCTTCTCCCACCTCTCTTCTCTTTTCTATAATACCCCCTCCACCATCTCCATTAATGCACACCCTTCTCTTCCTCACTTTTCTCTCCCTCCACACTCCTAGCTTTGTCTCACTAGTTAGCTCTCCTTCTCCACTAGTTAGAGTCATCTCCTCCCCAACACATGAGTTGCTTATGTTTTGCTGAAATGTTGATTTATTTTTGTTTGGCGAATTTCAGGCAAACTCGATATGTCCTATTTTTAGTGAAGGTCATGCCAAATTATTGTATGACTTTGATGCATCCATGCATGCGTTTACAATCCTTTTGCTTATTATACCGCGCAGGCGATCATGAAGGTCAGTGAAAGGATAGTGGAAAGATGGTTGCGATCCGCGATGCATGACATATATGAAAATAACCGGAAGGCGATTATAAGTCCATGTCGAAGATGCAAAGGAGAAGTCTGGCTCGACCCCTATAAGGATGGCCATTTGAAGGTGCACCTGCTTATGACTGGTTCCATGGATGGCTATACTCGGTGAATAAGTGAAGATGATGATAATTAGGACACCGACGGGGCAACCAATAATGACGTGGGGCTAGACGAAGAGATGACACGGAGAAGAGGTCGGACATGGCGATGGAGAAGAGGCCGTACATGACGGAGAAGAGACGGACACTCCACAACCTTCGTGGCTACTAAGTTCAATCGTGCGGGACCCTAATGTTTGCGACCTGCTTCGCAAGAAAAAGACTAGTGATAGAGCTACTTGTAGAGAGGAGGCCAAGCTGGCGCAACTGGAGGTAGACTCGAAGACTCCATTGTATGATGGTTGCGATCCCGAGGTGCCCCGCTTGAGTTTCACGCTGAACTTCTAAAGACAAAGGCTAAAAACAAATGGACCGACAGAAGCCTTGATGAGCTTCTCAAGTATCCAAAGAAGGTTCTTCCGACGGGGAACCTGTGTCCTACTAGTGTCGGGAAGGCCAAGAAAATTGTGTGTCCTCATAATCTGCCGCAGATTAGATACCACGCATGCATCAACGATTGCATCATTTATCGGAAGGAGCACGCGGAAAAAAACCAGTTGTCCGGTGTGCAATGCTTCTCGATACAAGAAGACCAGAAAGAAATCTCCTAAGAAAGTTGTATGGTACTTTTCGATCACTCCCCGTCTGCAGCGTTATCTCATAGATCCTGAGGAAGCAAAGCTCATGCGCTGGCACACATATCGGGTGAAGCCCGACGATGGAGATGATCTGAAGCTGAGACAACTTGCGGTGCAAGCCATTGGAGAGCGTTCAACGCCTAATATCGATATTTTTCACAGATGATCCAAGGAACATCGTGCTTGGCACGAGTACAGATGGCAATGCATCCTTTTGACAACCAAAACACCAACCATAGCACATCGCCCGTCTTTGTATGAATGTACAACCTCCCTCATGGTTGTGCATGAAGACAAAGTTCATACACGTGAGTATACTGATTCAAGGGTGAAAACAACCGGAAAATAATGTTAATTTGTATCTCGGGCCACTAAAAGAGGAGCTACACATGTTATGGACATCACCGGTCAAGACATGGGTCGCCAGCGCAGGGGATTATTTCTATATGGGAGCCACGCTGATGACGACGATGCAGAAGAATTTTGAATTATATCTTAAGAAAGATCGGGTTTGTAGAGGCCAACTATTTTAACACTGCTTTAGCGACTGATATTTTCTTTGTGGGCATGGATGCCATTTTTATATATAATTGCAAGTA